ATCGACTTGGGACCCCAAAACGCCCCACATTGTGCAAGTTTAATCAAATCAGAGTAAATTAAATTAATAGGAGAATCCAGTTTGGGGGGTTCAACACTGTCTTCCGCCAATCCTACATTGACATGTTGACGTTTCGAAAGAAGAATTCAATCCCCATGCCCGAAAAGTACCTACTATTCGTAGGTTGTATTCAAGTCTTGCAGGTTCTATACCTCATACGTACACATCATAAATAGGCATGAACTACTGTGGGTATATGAAATCTCTTCAATGACAGTGCAGGTTGATTTCTTCATTTCTGCTTTACACTGCTTTTTTTTGTTGGTGAAATCCTGCTGGACTGCTCCAATTCCATCCAGGGGGTCAATCTCATAAGGTGGCAACAAAAAAGGATTTGGCATGGCATCGTGTAACACCATTGGCATGTCTCGTTCCACCCCCAGTGTTCCATTTATAGGACGGAAAATAAGAACGAATTGGGTTGATCCACAAGCATAGCAACGATTTATAGCAACTATTTCACGACTATTTCTCGTGTGATGTTTGACCCCAGCATACCCGGAGGTGTGTCCGAACATGAGATTACTGCAAATAGATCCAAATAGCCCATGATAAAAACGGGATAGTTTTGATCAACGATGGATTTTAGGGTACTACAAACAGTATGACAAACCACTTTTATGATAAATAAAAAATCATTTAAATGGTTAAACATTGTGAAACCCGATGGTTTACATTATGATAAATAAACCATCCAGATCCCCCATTTTTTTATCGGTGGTATGTTTACCATTCCAAGTCATGGTTTGTTTATGGCCTTGTTTATGGCATTCTTTTACCCACATTATCAGCGGGAATTTCAGGTAATGTACCATATTAAAGCCATATTTTTGTGGGGATATCCCCTTGCATAGCCCTAAAACATAGACCTTACATATGGTAGGTACCTTCAATAAATTGGTACCTGAAACGGCCATTGACGTTATGACTCCACCATTTACATAGTAATTTTCCCATTAAGACCTCCAAGACCTCCATATTTAGTTCTTTTTTTGCCCATTAAAACTTCCATTTAGTAGGGGGATGTTACCATTAATCCTCTACTGTAATTCAAAAGTGATTTTCCATTAAATCCTCTAAGTTATAAGTGGTTGTTTCATTCAATCCTCCATTTATAAGAGCATCTTCCCATTTTTTGGGGGATCGGCCCATTTTCTCCCCACCTCCAGCGGTGAGGCCTCAGACTTCGGGTTTCGTTTTGGTGAAGTTAGCCTCTGGTAATTTGTTACATAACTATTGGAAATTGCACATAGAAACAGTTGATTTACCGAACTTAAAGATGGTTATTTTCCATAGCTATGTTAGTTTGACAGAGAGCATGCAGTTCGACAGGTCGATCGCGTCATGCAAATGACTTTCTGGTAAAGAAAAGAATGCTCTTTGGCGCACAAAAATTGAGTATCCAACAGGCAATACTATAATATACTATATATGGTGGTTTCCAAAAATGAGGGTACCCCAATAGCTGGATGGTTTATAGTGGAAAATCCGAAAATCAATTGGATGATGACTCGGGGTAGCCCTAAGGCCCTATGACTCAGGAAACCTCCATATGGAGTCCAACAAAACAATGGGAGTGCACCATGAGTCACGTATGAATCAGTCCTAAACAGAAAATTCGCAGCGCAATTTTAGCATCAACAGTGACAATGAGGAGTTACGGAGCGCAGGTGGATACACTGAAAATATATGCGGTAGCCTCTGGTAAAGTAACAGTCGGCTATGGAAAATCACCAATTTTGATAGGTAAATCAACTATTTCTATGGGCTTTCAATAGCTATGGAACAAATTACCAGAGGTTTACAAAAAAACTAGTCATGGATCCACAAATCAGCTGCCAGTTCAACGCAAAAACAAACAACGGACACTCTCTGTTCGGGGCTAAATGTTCAAGGGGTTCTCCGAAGATGAATGTCATCCACCAAACACACTGATGACCAAGTGTCAGATCACTTTCTGGTTGGTGGTTGAGCCCTACCCCTCTGAAAAATGATGGACTTCGTCAGTTGGGATGACTATTCCCAATATATGGAAACATAAAATTCATGTTCCAAACCACCAACCAGACTGTTTTATATGTCTTTGTGTGAGAATCACCAAATGCAATTGTCACCGTCCAAGTAAACATAAAAGGGGATCATAGCAAATATCTTCCTATATCATCCCATTATATTAAGGATATACCCATTTTTATATCCATTGCGTAAATCCCAGTTACTAGATTACTAGATATACCCAACTCATTATACTAAGGATGTACCAATTATAATCTCATATTCATTGGGTAAACCTCATTTACTAGATATGCCCAGCTCATTATACTAAAGATGTACCAATTATAATTTCATATCCATGTGGGTAAAGCCCAGTTACTAGATATTCTCAACTCATTGTACTCTGTTAAAGGTATACCAATTATATGAAGTATATACCCTCTGGTAATTTGTTACATAGCTATTGAAAATGGCCCATAGAAATAGTTGATTTACGCATCAAACATGGTGATTTCCCATAGTTATGTTACTTTACCAGAGATATGTTTCCATAGTTATGTTATTTTCCCATAACAAAGTGATGATATATCAATTCTATTGAGTAGATACAAGCTGGTGCCCCAGTTCGTTAGCTAAGTTGGTGCGTTTATAACTTCAATTTCACAATGGTTTATGGTAGATATATCATGATATATTGACATAGTTACGAACTGGTTTATAAACCAACTTATAACTATGTCAATATATCACCTATAATATCCTATAACTATAGATATATCACCTATAAACCATAGTTACTATGGGGTTTATAAACCAACGTATAAACAATCACTGGGCGGCACGGTGGCACGGCCCCCTTGGCCCGAACCGGCCCGAACCGCCGTCCCAGGTGCCGTCGAATCTTCGGGATCCGCCATGATCGTAGCAATATATACTGTAAAACAAAGGTATTGAATATCAAATGATTATTGTATGTGAAGGATGACATGCTATATATTCTTAACCACCAACCAGTTATAAACATCATCTGCTGCCAAGAGTTATTGGAGTTATGGAGTTATATTCACCCATGGTGCTGGAATATGCATACCAACATTTGCCCGAACGTCCAAAATCACCCAGTCATGTACAATGTGAGGCCCCCGTTAGATAGCGTTCAGTTGGTTTATAACTCCAATGTCTATGGATGTCTATGGTTTATGGTATTTATAACGAACTAGTTACTGGGGCGAATCTAAACCAACAAACCTATCTTGGGGGCCTCACATTGTATTGAATATGATCTTCCTTGTTGGTATATTCATGTGTGATTATTGTATAATACTCAAGTCAATGTACATGAATTTCCATCATACAATATGAATAATCTCATGAATCAAAAATTCCAGCTGGTATAATTGATATATCGTATAATCGAACTATCAACAGTACAATTGATATTATATAGAGATAATTGAAAATAATTGATGTATGCTATATATGGATCTTGTTGGGCAACCAGAGTCAAGTCAACGTCCCATCATGTTGTTTCTAAGATGTTCATGACCGCAAACCACTTTTGGAACACAACATTGAGCCATCAGCATAACGGCATTTAACTTTTTGCAAGACGGGATGCATCCGACAACACCACATGAAATCAAGAGTTCATGGTGGTGATCGGCTGCGTGATGATGGTGACGCACCAAAGATCGGATCCGAAAGTGACTGGAGAGTCACTTCTTTTCGACATTGGTTTATGGTGTATATATATATATATGATTATGTATGTAGTTATTGGAGTTAAAAACCAAGTTTTGCTATAAACCACAGTTACAAACCATCGTATAATAAACATAGTTATAAACTATAGTTATAAAACCTTAGTTATAAACCATAGTTACAAACCATAGTATAAACTTAGTTCTTAGTTCTTGGAGAAAAAAACACTGGAGGAACCCCGTGATCTCCGTGGTGCTTCAAAGGGTCACGGTCCATCTCCGGTGTCGTGTCTTTTTGTTGCTAAAATGTGGAGGCCCCTCAGTGATGTGAACGTTGGCTTATAAACCCCATAGTAACTATGGTTTTTAGGTGATATATCAATAGTTATAGGTGATATATCTATAGTTATAAGTTGGTTTATAAACCAGTTCGTAAGTATGTCAATATATCTACTATATCTACCAAAAACCATAGTGAAATTGGAGTTATGTTCACCAACTTAACTAACGAACTGGGGCACCACTATGTAAAATGGTCATGTCACTAAATGTCCATTAGATTTCTATAAATGTAATTCATTGCATTTCCATACTGTTCCAATAATTAAATCAATTCCCTTGATCACTTTTTGATATATGGAAGTTTCATAAGTCATAGGGGGGTACCCCCAAATCATCCATTTGATTTTCGGATTTTCCATGATAAAGAACCATGATTTTAGATGATTTTTGTATAGTAGCTTCATTTTCGGAAACCTCACCTTGATACCCATACAATGTGGTACCCCCCAGCTATAAGTTGGTTTATAACCCCATCAACTATAGATATATCTACCATAAGTCCTGGTTAATTATTGGAGATATAAACCAACTTAGCTATCTTTGGGGCACCACTATGTATGAAAATCATGATATAAACATGTGAGCAGTGTCTGAAATAAACCCCTCATTCCATGAAAAATCCGGGTTGGATAAGAACGAGATTCCCCGTTCTTGGGTGATTATAATCCCCAATATATGAAGGCTTACCCTCTGGTAAACAAACAAAAAACTATTGAAAATGGCCATTGAAATAGTGGATTTACCAATTAAAAATTGTGATTTTCCATAGTTATGTGAAAGTTGACCAGAGGGTATAATCCCGGAACTCATCATCAACCAACCTCCGTTACTCTGCACCACCTTGATCGTCAACGGTTACATTTCTTGCGGATGTTCGAAGCGCCGAAGCTTTGCTTCGCGCAATCATAGGCCCAGCTCACTGACAGCATCCAGCAGTGCTAAGGCCTCGCTCCGTGGGAGACCCGGCATGTGGTACATAAAGTTGGCCATATGATAGGTTAGTATCACTATATAAATATATACACACAATCAGTATGGTTATATATATATATGCTATATACATATATATTTTTTTACACACAACAAGTATGGTTATACATATATATATATGTTATATACACAATAAATATGGTTATATATATATATATGTTATGTATACACAATAAGTATGGTTATATCTTTGCTACATATAGCTATATATATATATATATATACACAATCAGTATGGTTATGTATGTATATATATATATATATATGTATATATGTTATATTCAGATACATATACACACAATAAGTATGGTTACATACATATATATATATATGTTACATATATGTTATATATATAATGTGATTCTACTTGTGTATATATATATATGAGCTTAAAAACCAACCCAAAGATACCTGGAGGACACCACCCATGGTGACGACTGGGGATCCCACATTTTACGAAACCTACATATAGTAAACATTCCCATGTGCCCAAAACAAACCCCCCATCCAGGGTTGAAGTTTGGCAAAATTTGTGGAACAAAGAAAACACATGAACCAGACACTAGAGATTTAACAGGACACCATGGCAATGTTTTTGCAGGAAAAATGACAGAATTCGCCAGCAACAAATGGCATACAACCAAACATGGATATGGTTGAAAAATGAGAAACTGCATGAAATGGGATGTTGAATCCCCAAGCAGCCTTATTATTTTATGAGTATATATATATATATAGATAGATAGATAGATAGACACACAATGGTGACATCAATCAGCTTATATCCCAACTATATTCCCCTTATTCAGATTGGCTTTACAGTTTACACAGCCTTTTATAATTGAGTCCATTGTTTTGCTCCACATATCCAAGTAATATCCGATCAAAACAACATCCCATGAATGTTCCACATCCGATTACCTTTCAGTAAACTAACAGTTTGCGAACTGGAAATTACCACTTTCAGTAGGTAAATCGACTATAAATCAGCATTTTCAATGGCTATATTAATTGACCAGATGGTACCTTTCAGTAACATAGACCCTCATACCTCAACCAATTTGTGGTGCAAACTCATCTTTCAGCCCCTCATGGCAGGGTTTCTGTCAGTTGGGGAAATGGTGTATCCCATTTCTCGCAATATTTTGGTAATTCAATCCAATTGCACAATCTTAATTCGTATCAACTTATGTTCTATATCCAAGGTTTATACATGTTCAATCCATCCATTATTGGTTTGTAATGGTATGGGATATAACCAATAATGGGATATATCCAATAAGAGGCAAAGGCAGGAATCAAATGCTGATATCATTGAAAAATGGCGAAACGTGGAGGTTTCCTAAGTCATAGGGGTACCCCAAACAATCATCCATTTTAGATTGGGATTTTCCCTCGGAAAAACCATCCATATCATGATACCATACCCCTACCATACCCAGTGCCAGTGCCTCATCGGCATCCTCAATGCCACTGGCGTGCAAATGCGCAAGGTCCTGGCGGCGAAAAAAAAAACAGGTTTTGTGTCCATCTGGGGATTTGCAGTTATAGCCCTTGAATAAATGGGATTATAACTCCTGTTGCTGAGGTTAAATTTCATTATAAGTCAGTTATAACATGTTATAACTATTAAGGGCTGTAATTCTGGAGATTGGATTTGAATAATTAAATGTAATTTCTATTTTTCAGAAGCAAACATCGGTGCTGAAATCTGGAACGTGGAGCAACCACTAGATTGCTTCTGATATTGTCAACAAAAGCTGGCACTGAGCCATGACAAATGAATTTTTGAAGAAACGTGAGTATGTTTTTCCATGTACCCAATGGGAGTGCTTAACCCGACCAGAATGGTGAATGTCGAGAAAAAGGGGGGTTCCCCGTTCTATTTTTGACCTCCATCGGTACCATCTCTGCGGAACATCAACGTTTGAAAAGGTTTGAAAAGCGACAAATATTAAGTTGATCACCTTTTGGTTTCAAACTGCTGAAACAAACTAATTTCATAGACAAATTTGAGGCCTTGAGGAAATGGCCTTGAGGAAATGCAACATTTTGAGTATTTTTTTTAAACCTCAAAACCCCTCAAAAGGCTTCAAACATGCTCACACAGCACTCCAACACGACTGTTTACCCAAAAAATGTACTCAGATTGACTCTCGGACACCTCATTTAGTATCAAATCCAAGATTTTGAACTCGACGTTTCCTAGCGGCCATTTGGTCACCACCCCCAATTTGTGTATGACAATATGTTTCATCAAATATTAATGACCATCAAACTTGTAACTTTACATCTCAGAGGTAAAGATCCAACAAAAAAACATTGAAGCAGCGTTGGGCTCCAGTTGTTGAAGACTCCAGTTGAATCCCGGTGGTGTCAATGAAAAAACCATGGATATTTGAGCGCCGATTGGTCCAACGTTGAGCATGTGAACCGGACACCAACAGACCGGAATCCCATGGTTTTCTGACCCCCACATTATAGCACCATATAGCTGTCTTCGGTGAATCTGTTCCCTCCATTTCAGGAACAATGGGGTCAACGCGCCACGAAAATGGTTTTCTTTGTCCCACGTTCATTGTACCACCACAAGCTGTTTGTCCTCCAATAATCAAACCAAGGAGTCCCAAGGAGGCTGGAAAATCCACCCACTTATAGATGATTCGTGAAAAAAACTCCATGGATACTTGTGTTTTTTTTTGCAAGGTGGTGCCCCATAGTTAGCTAAGTTTGTTTATAACTCCAATAACTATGGCTTGTGGTATATATATATATAGAGTTACTATGGTTTATAAACCAACCTATAACTGGGGGGGCACCACCTTGTTCCAATGTTTTCCCCAACGGCTTGGGATTTCGCTTGCCATGTTGGACTCTGTCCCTTCGCAGGGCTCCTTGGCTTTCGCTGGGCCGTGCTGATGTTCCAAGGCAGTTTGCAACAAGGAGACCTTCGCCTGTCAATGGACAAACCTATGGAAACGTGGAGAAAACCATGCAATACATAAGATAGATAGATAGATAGATAGATTAGATTAGATTAGATTAGATTAGATTAGATTAGATTAGATTAGATAGATAGATAGCTAGCTAGCTAGCTAGATAGATAGATAGATAGATACACTAGACTAGACTAGATTAAGATTAAGATTAAGATTAAAATTAAGATTAGATTTTGATTAGATTAAATTTAGATAGATAAATAGTGTATATTACTTTTACATGGCTAATCTTAGATGTTCCACCTTTTGGTGTATATATGTATATAGCTATATATATATAACTATATATATAACAATATATATATATATAACTATATATATAACTATATATATAACTAAAAATATAAAACTATATATATATATATAACTATATATATATATATAGCTATATATATATATAACTATAACTATAACTACATATATATATATATATAGTATGTATATGTATACATGTATGCATGTATACAATGTGTAATGCATAGAAATAAACATACATACAAAATGGCTTGTAAACACGCAAAGTCCTTATTGGAAAGACCACCCGGCCTGGTAAACTTTCACAGAGCGAACTGGAAAATCACCATATTTTTAATGGGAAAAGCATCGAACTAAATGACCATGTTCAACAGCTATGTAACAAATTACCAGAGGGTAGATGCCCATTTTTTTCTTGATGCGCCGTTTTAAACGCCCATTGTCCTTGGCAACCGTTAAACATTTCAACGACAGCGAGCTCCGTACGGTTTTCGTAGCCGGTAACTGGGTGTCCAATGTTTGCTCTCTTCGTCCTGGACTATCTGGTCGTCCTGGATGCGAGCAGCTGTGTGGCCCTGGTCTGCTTCTGCAGTGGGTTCACCTCTCCAGAGGCTGTGAAAGACCTCTTCTGTAAGATCTCGCCCAAGCCAATGGGTGTGTATGCCCGGGTCACCGTGTGTTCATGCCACACTCTCCCCAGCACTTGCTCGGCCCCCAGGACCTCTTTCTCTGGGAATCGGCGTGGGCGCCCATCCACAGTGATCCCGTTGTACCTCGAGATCTGCTTCTGCCAGACCTGGGCTGGCAACTGCTTGGGTACCTTCTCAGCGGTGGGCGTTGTCCCCATGCTAGCCCCTGGGTTGGCCGCAGCCGGAGTTCCCGGGATTGTTGGCGCTGGCAGCGGGGTCGCCGATAGTGATAACATTGTCTTTTTTTTCCAAAGCAAACAAATGTACTGCAGGATGGGGCCCCCAAGATAGCGTGAACCGTTGGTTTATAAGTGGCTGAATTCGATGGTTTATGGTAGATATAACTATAGTTGATGGGGATTATAATGGTTTATAAACCAACTTATAACTGGGGGGGCCATCCTGTGTAATAACCCTTAAAAAAAACTGAAGGGAAACTTCACTCAAACTTTGGTGTGCTTATTATTTTTGGCATTTATGAACTTATGGTTTATTAATTATCATTGAACTGTAGGGTTATCGTGCTTCATAGGTTCCTAGTGTTACCATGTAGATCTATGTGCATATATATATATATATGTAGTATTAATACCAATGTAGCGTTATATTTGTTTCCATATTATGTATATGTCATAAACAAAAAATGGGGAAACATCCCATTATTGCCAAGCAAAATCCCAGGAAACAAAAACACGGTGCTTATCCCTATGACAGATAGCTCCATTGGATATACTTCATATACCAGTTGATATCAAGTTATAGCAGCTATAGCACCTTAACTACAGTTTCCACTGGAAACAACAAATATATATTGTGTTGACAGTTAAGTATAAAGTTCAAGTTTTAGACAAAAAACATATATATAACAATGTAGAATATAATATGTTGTAAAATGTAAATAACAATAGTATAACATACCAAAAACATTGTGCTTGTTTATATTTCAATATTCAAATTACAAAACTTTATATAGTTTATTGGTTTTCATTATTATGTTGTATTATTTGTAATTCATTTTTGGTTTATAATTCACTATGTATTGTTTTCCATATAGTTTATTCTAATAACAAACATACTATTGTTTTTCATCTCCGGGGAAAACTCTCCCCATGACACCTGCGACGCCAAGGCCACCATCTCGTCCTCCTCATTCTCCTGAATTCGAAAAACGGAACTAGAAATGATGTATATTTAATGGAGACTATCCAATTTAATGGAGACTATCCAATTTCATGGAACTATCCAATAATGTATAGTTTAATGTTTAATGGAGACTATCCAATTTAATGGAACTATCCAATAATGATAATAATAGTTGAACTATAAATATGTAAACTATCACCAACCAGATAAAAATTGCGATTTTAATGGGATTTATTGATGACAGAAATGGGGATTTAACCAACAGAAATGGGGATTAGTGATGGGAATTTACCCGCTGGTAATTTAACAGTTTGCTATTGAAATTACCCTATTTAATCTATTTCGTTCCTTGGTTTACCTATTCAAAATGGTGATTCTCTATAGCTAGGTTAGTTTCCCAGAGGGTAAACCCTCAAACTGTGCATTTGGAAATTCATTGGGAGCTCATTAGCTTGGAGTGAAAATCTGGAGTTGACCATCAGACTTGCATAGCCATCTAAGAGTATTGAGCAGTTGTCAACGTCTGAGGGCTGTCCTAGGTTGACGTGCAACGGCTTGTTCTACTTCCGGAAGCACCACTGGTTCATGTGGTGCTTGTCCATAGATGTACCATCTGGTTATTTGACATAGCCATGGAAGCCATGGCCTATTTATAGATGGTTTACCTATTAATAACATGGTGATTTTCCATGGCTATGTTAGTCATAACCAGATGGTAAATGGCTAGCCATGGCGACATCCTGGGAGTTCCAGCCTGACCAGCTCCCGATTTTCTACATTGATGTTTTACGGCTGTTCAATATCACTGTTGGCTAGTTATTTTAAATTAAGAAGAACCTACTGTTAAAAAGGGGCCCCCAAGCTTTGTTGGCTGGTTTAATAATCCCATCTAACTTTTTTTTTGTTTGATCTACCCATTGACCGATGAATCCCACAGCCAGCCTACTTTCTCAACCAACGGAAACCCGTCTTTTGGGTGCCCTTCCTGTGTTTTGTCTCCAACGTTGTTGGTTGTTATATCCCTATCAAAAATACAAAGTGCACACCCAATTCATCAATTCTATCCTATTCCCCTTTCCACTGGTTAATCATCATTTCATTGGATTGGTTTAAGGGAAATTTTACAGGAAACCTCCGTATTTAGTGGTAAAAACATGGTTTCCGGTTACGATTTTCCCTTTAACCAATCCAATGATCATTCCCTCATTAAGTTTTGCAAGTCAACATGCCTTCACCAAGTTTTAAGGTGCTGCCCCCTACTTACAAGATCTTACAAGCTGGTTTATAAACCAATGGAACTGTAGTCACAATCACCATGACCCTAATTGACCAATCGCAATGAGCCAACTTAGCTATCTGTGGGTACCACTTGGCTAAACGGGCCATTTAGTTCGATTTTCCATAGCTATGTTAGCGGAAGGTATCCCCTTCAAACTGGATATGTTTCATCCAACAAAGGAGCCACAAAAACTCACCACTTCGCGTTTCAAAATCAGGGTGCTGGTGTCTTCCCAGTTATAAGTTGCTTTAAAACCCTATCAGCTATAGCTCTAAGTTGCATCATCAACCATAGTGCCATAGTTATTGGAGTAATAAACACACCAACTGAATTAGATATCTAGGCATAATAATAGTTATTGGAGTTATAAACCCACCAACTCTGGTTGGTGGTTTCAACCCCTCTGAAAAATATGAGTCAGTTGGGATGATGATTCCCAATGTAGGGAAAGTCATAAAATTCCATGGTTCCAAACCACCAACCAGAAATGTATACATACATTTACATACAGCATAGCGTTTGGCTTTGAGCTACAAATTCATTTGCATAAAAAATGTTCCAAACCACCAACCAGTTTTGGTTATTTGAGTTTACCAGAGGGTAAGTGCAATTAAATCCCATTAAAGCCCATTAGATCCCATTAAACCACCATTTTCCTATGGTTTACCAGAGGGTATAAACCCACCAACCATTTTTAGTTCTCACCTGCCGTGGACCCTTTTTTCGTCGTCCTCCACTTGCGTCAGCAGATCCAGCTCCGCCTCGGACGCTACATGTGCGCAGCCAGGACATGCGACCTTCGCGGGCTCCGTTTGGGCCACGTTTTGGGCAACCTGTGGTGGCGCGAAGACCGGTGGTAACAAACAAAAGGGGGATCTTATCCCATAGGATCCATGGTGCTGCTATTTGTTTGGTGTGCCATGCATCCCATCAAGAAATACCCCTAATCAATGTTAGCATAAATAGCAGCACCATGGATCCTATGGGTTATGGGAGATGTTGTGGGATTTTTGTTTGGCATCGAATGGAATTGAAGTTGGAATCATTTGTGAAAACTGGGAGAGACCTTGGGATTTAACCAGGAACAACATTGACATCCAGGATAGAACACAAACCATCCCATGGAGATTACAATAAGGTTAACCAATCATAACAAACATGACCAGCAACAGAATGGTGTAGAAAACCATCCAGACCAGGAGAATATATATATATACACACCCTTTGGTTGTTTATTGTAGCTATATGGAAAACGGCCTATTTATACATGATTTATGATGACTTACCTATTAAAAAATGTGATTTCCCATAGCTACGTTAAATAACAAGATGGTATTTATATATATATATATACGGTAACTACATTTAAATATACGGACTTTTAAATATACGAACAGGTATTTTAGACTACCTCCGGGAAGGTTTTCCTTGGCCCGCCCGGCCATTTAAACATACGGAAAACAATTCATTTAAACATACGGCAACTACATTTAAATATACGAACTGGTATTTCATACTACCTCCGGGGCCTCGCGGTCTGGCCCGCCCTCCATATATTTAAATGGCGTTACCGTATATATACACACTATTGAAGCAAAAAGTTGGGATATAGACTACGAATGGTGCTTTGAGATGGAGACTTCACCATGCAATAGTAGATCACCTCAGATACGCGGGGCAAACAATAGGCATGCTATCTAAGTTTTGCGATTTAAGCAACAAGAAGTGGTGTCTGTCTAGTTAGTCTATTTGGAAATAAAGATAATTCAGTAATTATGTGTTTGTTTGTACCCAATTGCGAGACATACCGAAAAATGATCTTTAGCTGGTAGGTCTGTGTTTATATGCACGTGCCACACCAAGGTTGACTCAGAGTAGAAAACTGCTGTGGATGGCAGTGCTGTCGAGACATGGGAGAAACACCTTTGCACCAGCTCAAGGGTGTTGCGAAGCAGCCAAGCAGAAACAAAAAAAAACACTTGCCATGGTTGGTGGACACCCTGATGGGCGATGGTGAAAATCAAGAGGCTTGCAGTGGTGGGATCTCACTTGCCAGCCCTCTTCTGATGGTGGTATGGCTGAACTCGTCGCCACAGCAGCTGCACAGCATCAAGGAAAACTGTCATGTAGGCAATGGAAAGATTCAATATAACATATCTAAGGATGTGATATGAAAGATTGGATGCACAGTAGTTAGCCAAAACACACCAGTAATCTGTGGTTATTACTAATAATTTCTTCACCAAAAACACTAATAATCCAGTACTCCATAATTGTACTACTATTGGCATTTCGTTTTAGTTATTGTGTTTACCATGTTTTACCGTGTTTTACCATGTTTTTTTTACCATGTTTTACCATGTTTAACCTGGCATTTTTCTAGGGTTGTTTGGAGGGTCAACCCACTACATCCTACCCGCACCTTGGGCGCCACCTGCTGCGAAAGGCCTGGTGTCTTTTTTCGCTCGCCGAGCGATGTTTGCGAAGTTGGTGGATTCAGATTCAGAAAATTGGTTATAAATCGAACTATAGATGAATCTATTCTGAAAATTGGTGGATCAAAACAACAAAACATATTAGCTACACTTGGTTTGATGAAGTCGATCTAAATTTATGACATTTTATGACTTCATAGCCCCTAGTGATGGTGGAAGTTCGTGGATCTGCATTTCGGCATCCAACGTTGCAGAAAAAACGGGTGCCACGTGGAAATTGTGGCTATTGCCATGGGAAAACCATAGGAAAACCATAGGAAAATGGTGGTTTAATGGGATTTAATGGGATTTAACCTCTGGTAAACTAACATAGCTATGGAAAATCATCACTTTTAATAGGTAAATCAATTATAACTGGGCCATTTTCCATAGCTATGTTAAATTACCAGAGGGTATGGAGATGGGCTTCACTCACTGGAGATGGTGATAAATATCTCACTTCAATGAGTTTGTAACTTTTGCCAGTTATACTGGTTGGTGGTGCAATGTGCCCATCTTGAAAAATGATGGAGTTCGTCAATGTGAAGGATGACATCCCATATATTCCAAACCACCAACCAGTTATAAATATCATCTGCTGCCATAGTTATTGGAGTAATAAACCCACCAACTGAATTAGATATCTAGGCATAATAATAGTTATTGGAGTTATAAACCCACCAACCCTGGTTGGTGGTTTCAACCCCTCTGAAAAATATGAGTCAGTTGGGATGATGATTCCCAATATATGGAAAGTCATAAAATTCCATGGTTCCAAACCACCAACCAGAAATGTATACATACATTTACATACAGCATAGCGTTTGGCTTTGAGCTAGAAATTCATTTGCATCAGTGGGATACCTGGGAAAACTCATGGTGGATCCAACAGTCATCCCAAAACAGTCTGGGATGTGAGCTATGTGGAAGGATTTTCAGTTCCGGTAAAGACCATCAAACCCTTCCTATCCAAATATCTTTCCTTTGGCAAAATGGTGCTGGAGTCTCACCTGTGTTGATATCTTGCCCTCTGCTAACCCAATATGATACAGAAGGCTCCATGACTCCGTACGATCTACAAATGGTGCATTGAACCTGGTTTTCTCCGGACACCCCCCTTACTATGTCACAGCCAGATTGTCCCAAGTCCTCCAGTGAGTTTCCCCAGAATGATGGTACCCCCAGTCATCATCCATGTCAAAAAGAATCTTCCATTATATATAAACCATCCATAACTATCCATAAATTGGGATCCCAAAAGTTATGGAAACCCCCAACATGTCATGTTTCAGTGTAGCTTACATCGCTCGCCATCGAGGTTTCAGTGGAACGATGGCACCCCGTGAAAAAAATCCCCGAAATCCGAGGGACCGAAGCAGGAAGTGTGACAAAATCAAGACATGCCAAGTAAACATACAATGTGATGCCCCCAATATCTATGGTTTATGGTACTTATATGTACTTATAACTATAGTATTCATGGGGTTTTATAAACCAACTCATAACTTGGGGGGCCTCACATTGCATGATTTATACGTCCATTTCATCATGTCCATCTTAAAAAAATGAAAAAACAAAACATTCTAGAAACATATTAATACAACATAAACCATGTGCGCATCCATCTTTTAAAAAAATACTTTACTTCGTGTGATCCCCACCATGACATTTATACATTTTGTTACTGGCAAATCTTCTGGCATTCTATCTGACATTTTATCTGGCATTCTATCTGGCATACCTTCTGGCATTCTATCTATCATACCTTCTGGCATTTTACCTGGCATATCTTCTGGCATTCTATCTGGCATATCTTCTGGCATATTATTTGGCAAATCTTCTGGCATTCTATCTGGCAAACATTCTGGCACTTTATCTGGCATACCTTCTGGCATTCTATCTGGCATTCTATCTGACATATCTTCTGGCATTCTACCTGGCATATGTTCTGGCATATCTTCCGGCATTCTATCTGGCATTCTATCTGGCATATCTTCTGGCATATTATCTGGCAAATCTTCTGGCATTCTATCTGGCAAACATTCTGGCACTTTATCTGGGATATCTTCTGGCATTCTATCTGACATTTTATCTGGCATTCAATCTGGCATACCTTCTGGCATTCTATCTGGCATACCTTCTGGCATTCTATCTGGCATATCTCATGGCATTTTATCTGGCATATCTTCTGGCATTCTATCTGACATTCCATCTGGCATATCTTCTGGCATTCTATCTGGCATATCTCATGAGGTCCGGCAGGGAACACTTGGCGTGGATACTCGCGGTTGAGGTCCGGCAGGGAACACTGGGCGTGGATGGTCGTGGTTGAGGTCCGGCAGGGAACACTGGGCGGGGATACTCGCGGTTGAGGTCCGGCAGGGAACACTGGGCGTGGATGGTCGTGGTTGAGGTCCGGCAGGGGACACTGGGCGTGGATGGTCGTGGTTGAGGTCCGGCAGGGAACACTGGGCGTGGATGGTCGTGGTTGAGGTCCGGCAGGGAACACTGGGCGTGGATGGTCGTGGTTGAGGTCCGACAGCGAACACTGTGGATCGCGAGTCGCAGTTGAGCAGGAGGACGAGGAGGACAACGAGAGGAGGAGGAGGAGGAGGCGGAGGAGGAGGAGGAGGCGGCAGGAGGAGGAGGAGGAGGAGGACCAGGCAACTTAGATAAAATCTAACAACCCTCACCTGGCAGGTGGGGAAAAACAACAAGTTATAGTGATTATTAACAGAAAATGAGATCACAAACAAATATTTCCAACAAGTAGGATGCAACATAATAAAACTGATATATGTTGGTTTCCATGTTTTGGTAATATGTTTTGATACAAAATACACTGGTAGGACAAAAGTTGCGCTTGTTGAGCTTCCGGCAGTGAACATGTTTGGTTTCTTCTTCTGCACACCCTTTCCCCTTAGAATCCTAGCATGGAGCTTTGTCGTACCCCGGTCGAATTTCCACCCTCCAAAAGCTTTTAATCTTATAGATTTAAAAGCGGGTGATAATTGACCGTCCCACACCTGCCACACGAAATGGACTTGGAAATGTGATCCGCGGTTGACCGAGATGGATACTTTGTCAAGCTGTCAAGAAGCATAAACTTTGTTCCTCCTGAAGGGTAAAAAAAGCTTATTCAGTGGGAATTGTCAAGTCGGCTGCTGTTTGTTGCACGTGCTTCAGCTTGGTCATCATACTCCACATAAAATATCTGCATCCTCTGGTTTCAATGCCTTTCTGTGCAGCACCCTTACCTTCTTCATTGTTGCCATGGCGTCTCATTTGCAACTCTGTTCGATTGAGGGTTTTGGGAAGCGTCCATACTCTTTTCTGCAATGCTACACCTGTGCCGTGACGCGGGTAAAAAAAGCTTATTCAGCGGGAATTGTCAAGTCGGCTGCTGCTTGTTGCACGTGCTTCAGCTTGGTCATCATACTCCACATAAAATATCTGCATCCTCTGGTTTCAATGCCTTTCTGTGCAGTACCCTTGCCTTCTTCATTGTTGCCATGGCGTCTCATTTGCAACTCTGTTCGATTGAGGGTTTTGGGAAACGTCCATACTCTTTTCTGCAATGCTACACCTGTGCCGTGACGCACTGGTAGGACAAAAGTTGCGCTTGTTGAGCTTCCGGCAGTGAACATGTTTGGTTTCTTCTTCTGCACACCCTTTCCCCTTAGAATCCTAGCATGGAGCTTTGTCGTACCCCGGTCGAATTTCCACCCTCCAAAAGCTTTTAATCTTATAGATTTAAAAGCGGGTGATAATTGACCGTACCACACCTGCCACACGAAATGGACTTGGAAATGTGATCCGCGGTTGACCGAGATGGATACTTTGTCAAGCTGTCAAGAAGCATAAACTTTGTTCCTCCTGAAGTAATCCATGTGTCCACTATTCACAGTGAATACAGATATAATCCCCATATATTGGGTAGTATAATCCCTTATAATCATCAACCAACAGGGGTTTTGAACACTGCTCAATTGGAGTGAACAACATCATAAAATCGTCCATGTTTTCCATTATATATCCCACTATATATCCATTATATATCCCACCTACTGAGCAGTTTCCAAATATTTTTTTCCAAACAGATTTTCCATTATAGATCCCACCTCTGGGAAATATCTGGGTAAATTACAATATTTCACTAACCTGAATTAAGGCCATTTGGGGATGATTTCCCTTACTAACCATTATTCCAGTGAGGTCGCAGTGAGGTCGTTATAATTTACCCAGATATAATGAAAGTTTCCCAAATTTGCCCAGCTACTGCGGGCCGGATTCTCCGCGGTTGCCCCGCCTGCGATGGTGGAGTTCAAGGCCCCAGCCTCACCGGGACTGCCAGGACTGCCCAGCGGAGAGGAAAGGGCCCTTTTTTAAACCATGGACAAATGAGCCATAGAAATAGAAGATGATGGGTTTTATAATGATATATTGATATGGAATATGGATATGGAATATGGATATGATAGAAAATAGATGAAATATTTATGAACATATGATACATATGATAGAAATAGATGATTTACATATGGGATATGGATGAAGATGGTGGTTTTCCAGTTTGCAAACTGTTCACTGAGGTTTTCTCTCCGACAATCTGGTGCTTGACCCAAACATTTCTGGCCTCGAGCGCCTCAAGTGTTCCGGGGGCCAACCTTGTTGGCCGCGGATGGTGAGCCCCCCCGGGCCTGCAATACATATTCCATACATGGAGCATCTGGGTAAGACGTATGGTAGTTATATCATAGTTTATAGATGTTCATAGGGTTTGTAAACCAACGAGCATGACTGGGCACCCCAACTTGTATATATCCAAATCGTATTCAAGTCGCATTTCCAATATGATCAACATGACATAAAGTTAAAATCAAACAGTATATAAAATACTATATCCACGGGTTGGACATGCCGTGGAAAATATATGCAGATACCGTATTGTTGATTTTGACATTGATATGGACATTCCAGCATGATCCAGCATGTAAATACGTAGATGGTCTGTTTGGGGAACGCCTCCGAATAAGATAGAAATATATCTTGACCTATATATAATTTAAGATCCAGAAATGTTATCTATTGGATATGCTTTTATTGTACGTACTAGAAAAGAACCAATTGAAACTGCATGTATGTTGTCTTGTGGAATGGACATCAATGGACAACAACATGAACTGAACAAGTATGTAATATTTCCGCCGTTAAGATACGTGTAAGTCTAGGTGCAGTCCTGTGGTTTGACACATCATGCGCTAAATCCAGCACTAGACCATACCCAATTTTTACAAGTTTGATCTACTTTGGGTGTTCTTCTAATGTTGCGTTTAACGCAGTACTCATATCAAAGGACTCAATTCACGGCGAATATCTGAGCAATGGATTGCAGATTCAAACTATGTCCCTTTTATTCCCTTTTGTTTCATTGAAGACCTTGCCAGTGCCTTGAAGTGCTTCTCCTTGAAAGCATGTTTCAAGGCTGGTGTGACCCAAGGTCTTGCTTCGACTCCAAACTTTGGAGTAGCCGCTTCCGTTCTCATATAGTGAACGCTTCTCGATAGTTGATGTCGGCAACCACAGGGGAGTAATCAAGATGGCAACTCCAAAAGGTAGTAACATGTTCCCAAGCCTTGCCCCTATATATATAGTATTATATACATATCAATACATATCATATCATATTCTGGTCAAATTATGATAATTCACAAAACTGAATACTTCGGCTACTTTGGGACAGCTATCCCAATCCTAGCCATTATTCCAGTGAGGTCGCAGTGAGGTTTTTATAAGTTGTCCAGCTTAAATCCCATTACATCTAACCAGGTTGAGTCATCAATATTGATATTTGATTGTTTTTTGACATACATTCCATTCATGTTCAATTAGCATATCCTTCTGTGTCTGCCTCAGATTTATATCCCATATGCTCCATGTATGGAACATGCATCAGCTGCATCAACATTTATGGCAGCAATCACCCAGTTGTGTAGGTAAATCTACCAGCACCATGGAGGATCTAGGTTATATAATGTCAACTTTGGATCAATAACCACTAGGCTGTTGAATTAAGGGTGTACTAGTTAAATATCATGTTATTACTAATTCTTACTAGTAATTCACAGTGTTGTTATTGCTATATTAGTACTGATATTGTTGAATTGTGGTATTCATAATAGGAAATCCTAGAAAATATCATATTGTTAATCTACTGTGGATGGTTGCGAAATCCTGCACCACCAAAAGGATGGTTGGAACCCTATAACTCGTGGGATAAAACCACTTATCAGTTGGTGCAGGATTTCGCAACCATCCAGGGTATATATATATATATAATATAGAATCATCATCTTAAGTGATTTCTAGATAAATATCATACTATTACTAATCATACTGTTATTATTGTTATTATTGCTCTTATTGTTATTATTGTTATTATTGTTATTATTGTGATGATTGTTATTATTGTTATTATTGTTATTATTAACATCCCACTGGGAACATATAATAATGAAATATAATATCATTATTGTTATGAAATAATTATTAACCTCCCTTGGAAATCCTAGTTAAATATCCTTTTTGCTATATTAAATATTAACATATCATAACATTATTTTGAATCCTATAGTTAAATATCATAACAGGAATTTCTAGTTACCCTCCGGCAAATTAACATAGACCCTGGCAAACAGGGGTTGAAAGACTCGTTTCCACAAAAAAAAAGTGTTTTCAGGGTCGAACTGTTAATTTACCAGAGGGTACATTAACTATTATTGACCCAATCACATAATAATATGTATTGTCATTGATATATTCATAATAGGAATTTCGAGTTAAACATCATATTATGATTGGGTAATATATATATATATGTGTATATATAATTATCATATTAAGTACTTTCTAGATAAATTTCATACTATTACTAATCATAACTAGGGTTAATTTGGTTTATAACTACCATAAGTACCATAGTTTTGGGGGATTTGGTGCAACTCATCATATTATGATGACTCCCTGGGTCGCAGCCAAGCATCTCCCCCACACTGCCGCGTTGCAGCTGCACGGTGACCTTCATTCCAAACGGTTTCATGGTAAAAACATGGGGAAAAAACATGGGAAAACATGGGAAAACCATTGGACCATATGGGAAAATCATGGAAAAAAGGGAAACACGCGGGGAAAAAAAAAAACAAACAAACATCCTGGACCATATGGGAACACATGGGAAAATCCTAACATCCTAAAACTATGGGACAATTCCCTATACATGGAGGTTATAGCTAGGAAAATCATATATGAATAAATATAAACTGGTGGTTGCGCTCTGGTAATCTAACGCAGAGAACTAGAAAATTGCATGTTTAACAGGTACTGTAAATCATCATAAATCATCTGTGAATGCGTGATGTTGATAGCTATGTTAAGTAACCAGAGGGTAGTGTATACATATCTATATCTCTCTATATATATAATATGCATTACATATTAGTATTTGCTTTTACTGATGTACCACAGCAGCAATCTACATATGGTAAGTACATATATATATATAATTACTCATTGTAATGTATAATATATATATATATATGTACATGGTAACATGTATAGAATCTTCAAAGTATTTTTAAAACAACTAATTATAGCAACTATTAGTGGTCATATTTAGTACATGACACTTTATATCAACGACTATTGACCTATAGTAAGTTGTCATCAATAACAACTGTTGGGCATGTCGTACTTAATATTCCAGTTGGCCAGGTTTATCGTGTTAACTTTTTGTATTATCATTAATGATGGATGCAGTATATGATATAGCGATAGCTTGATGGGTGAACATAAATACTTAACATAGCTTCGAACTTGTAACTTCGAACGGGAGTAGAAAGGGGGCTCAAATGATTCAGAATGGGATGAATTGAGCTTTTGAAGCCATCCAAATGGATCCATCCAATCACCGTAAGTTTGAAGCTCCCGTTTGTTTTGGTTGATATGGTTTCATCACCTAGACGTAAACAGCTTAAACAGCTGGTTTTGGTTACCATGTTCGTACCAAAATGGCAAAGCTATAGCCCAGTAATTTACCATTCGCCAGCCGATTCATGGATATAATACCCTCCAGTAAACTAACATAGCTATGGTAAATCACCATTTTCAACAGGTATCTCAACTATAAATCACCCAATTTCTATGGCGATGTTAGTTTACCAAAGGGTATGTCACAATATTCTTGCTGCTTAAAGCCACATTTTGGCAGGTTACATCCCAACGTTTGCAAGGCAGTGCCCCCCACCTATGTCCATCCAACTAGTACCATATATCCATTGTAATACCTACCATCTGGGTTATTTAATGGAGGGTTTTAATGGGAAAATAACTATGGTTTTAATGGGAAATATGGAGCTATTGTAATTTTATTGTAATTTACTATGGAGTTATTTAATATATCCATAGCTATGTTAAATGGGACAATCCATTGTAAATGGAGGTTTCTAGCTGGGAAAATCATCTGTAAATGGGCCATTTTCCATAGCAAACTGTTAAATAACCAGAGGACAGTTAACCCACTTAACTTCATCAACTTAGGGATTTCCGACCTGGGTTGCCATCTTGTATACAGTATTGGCCATTTATTAGTTATAACTGGCTATTTCTATGGGATGAGAAACATTCTATAAATGGGGTGACTTGTTAGTACTTATAACTGGTATTTGGTCCCATATCTGTGGGAACATATTCTTGACTCATGACAATCACATATATATATATATTATCATTATCATATTAA